CTGGCTAGTCAAGCACACCAACACCATGGTCATTTAACCAACTTTTGGTGCTTTTGGCAGTGTGGGCAGGTGCCAAATCCTGCTGGAAAATGAAATCAGCATTTTCAAAAAGCTGGTCAGCAGAAGGAAGCATGAAGTGCTCCAAAATTTCTTGGTAAACGGGTGCAGTGACGTTGGTTTTCAAAAAACACAATGGACCAACACCAGCAGATGACATTGCACCCCAAATCATCACAGACTGTGGAAACTTAACACTGGACTTCAAGCAACTTGGGCTATGAGCTTCTCCACCCTTCCTCCAGACTCTAGGACCTTGGTTTCCAAATGAAATACAAAACTTGCTCTCATCTGAAAAGAGGACTTTGGACCACTGGGCAACAGTCCAGTTCTTCTTCTCCTTAGCCCAGGTAAGATGCCTCTGATGTTGTCTGTGGTTCAGGAGTGGCTTAACAAGAGGAATACGGCAACTGTAGCCAAATTCCTTGACATGTCTGTGTGTGGTGGCTCTTGATGCCTTGACCCCAGCCTCAGTCCATTCCTTGTGAAGTTCACTCAAATTCTTGAATCGATTTTGCTTGACAATCCTCATAAGGTTGCGGTTCTCTCGGTTGGTTGTGCATCTTTTTCTTCCACACTTTTTCCTTCCACTCAACTTTCTGTTAACATGCTTGGATACAGCACTCTGTGAACAGCCAGCTTTTTTGGCAATGAATGTTTGTGGCTTACTCTCCTTGTGAAGGGTGTCAATGATTGTTTTCTGGACAACTGTCAGATCAGCAGTCTTTCCCATGATTGTGTAGCCTAGTGAACCAAACTGAGACCATTTTGAAGGCTCAGGAAACTTTTGCAGGTGTTTTGAGTTGATTAGCTGGTTGGCATGTCACCATATTCTAATTTGTTGGGATAGTGAATTGGTGGGTTTTTGTTAAATGTGAGCCAAAATCATCACAATTAAAAGAACCAAAGACTTAAACTACTTCAGTCTGTGTGCATTGAATTTATTTAATACACGAGTTTCACAATTTGAGTTGAATTACTGAAATAAATGAACTTTTCCACGACATTCTAATTTATTGAGATGCACCTGTACAATTGGAAAGTTGTTATTGGCGAGCAGAGTCTGGGAAAACATTTGGGGAAAAGCCTGTTTGAAATAGACCCACTTTGATTTATTGTTGAATAACAACAACTGAATTAAATGTGGTATTTGCAGAAACTGGTCATTTTCGTAAAAGCTGACAAGCCAACGATACATTCGTGTCAAATATCAGTCGTCAGTGTGAAATTAGGTACACGACCGTCTTTATACCGGATTAACCTTCTGGCCTCGTTCTGGCAACACGGTGGTTAATGACACACACACACACACACAGAGAGAGAGAGAGAGAGAGAGAGGCAAACACGTACCTTGCGTATCTTTTACTCTCCGTCCCACCTTCTTCAGCGGCACCGGTGTAACCTGAGTGATGTGTTTCCTTCGCGTGCTTTTTCTCATGACAGCCCTCCACCAGCCACAAAATACGGCTTCCTTTCCCTTCCGCAGATACGTGGGCTGAACGCTGGCCGGTTTCTCCGCTCTACATATCAATACCGCCACTGTTTGTCTGTAGCAGTGCACAGAGGACAGGCGAGAGTCAAACGACAGCGATGCGCCACTGCAGAGTGAACGCGAGGCGACCGGATCATCGCAAGCGTGACTGTGGCATGCAGCGCTGCACAGACTGACAGACCTCTTATGGCAAGCCCTTTTGACTTTTATTCATTCTCAGGATATGAATTCTTGATATCAACAATTCAATTTTTACTAGTTAAAATGTTAATTCTTGATATCAGGAATTAGATTTCTACTAGTAACAATTGTTATTTTTGATATCAGCAACTACATTTCCACTAGTAACAATGTTAATTCTTGATATCAACAATTACATTTCAACTAGTAAAAACTATAATTCTTGATATCTGTAATTGTATTTTCACTAGTTAAATGTCACCATAGGCTGCCATTCAAAATCAATTGTTGATATCAAGAATTAATTTCTTACTAGTTGAAATTCCAATTTCACAAATAAGAAATACAATTCTTCTAGTAAAAACCTTTATATTTGATATCAGTAATCACATGGTTACTAGTACAGACGTCTATTCTTGATATCAACAATTTAATTCTTGATATCAACAATTTAATTGTCACTAGTGACAATGTTCATTTCTGATTTCTGAAAATGTATTTCTGATATCAACAATTGGGAGGGTAATTTCTGATATCTAAAATTACTTTTGTTACTAGTAACAATCACATTCATGATATCAGAAATGAGCATTGTCACTAGTGACAATTAAATTGTTGATATCAAGAATAGATGTCTGTACTAGTAACCATGTGATTACTGATATAAAAAACAAAGGTTTTTACTAGAAGAATTGTATTTCTGATATGTGAAATTGTAATTTCAACTAGTAAGAAATCAATTCTTGATATCAACAATTGATTTTGAATGGCAGCCTATGGTGACATTTAACTAGTGAAAATACAATTACAGATATCAAGAATTATAGTTTTTACTAGTTGAAAAGGAATTGTTGATATCAAGAATTAACATTGTTACTAGTGGAAATATAATTGCTGATATCAAAAATAGCAGTTGTTACTAGTAGAAATCTAATTCCTGATATCAAGAATTAACATTTTAACTAGTAAAAATTGAATTGTTGATATCAAGAATTAGCATTGTTACTAGTGGAAATGTAATTGCTGATATCAAAAATAGCAATTGTTACTAGTAGAAATCTAATTCCTGATATCAAGAATTAACATTTTAACTAGTAAAAATTGAATTGTTGATATCAAGAATTCATTGTCACTATAACTAGTGAAAATTGAATTGTTGATATCAAGAATTCATATCCTGAGAATGAATAAAAGTCAAAACGGCTTGCCATACCACTACCAGGTTTCTTACTTGCTTATGCACATTTGAGGCAACAGGACCCAAACAGTTTAACAAGTGCACATATGGCCTAATAGAGCCAATTATTAGGCATTCTGTTTTTGCCTCATTGTAAGAAATTATGTGCCATCCATAATTAAATCTCATACAAGCAGTTCATCAGATCATTTAACTCATAAACATCATCTGTTTTCAATGGAAGGCACAATTGTGCATCGTCAGCATAACAATGATATCCAATATTATATTTCTGACAGATAGAACCAAACGGAAACATGTATAAAGAAAAAAAAAAATTGATTCAAAGAGTTGATGAGGTAATAAACTATACGGTGATGCTGAAAACACAAGTCTACAGTGTGACAGAGACATATTTAATTATGACAACTAAATGAAAACAAATAGTTGTGGTGATGCAGTGACTTATGATTAGGCTACAATTTTTTTCTTCTGCATATACGATAAATGAGAATCCTGCAGGTGGCCCCTGTACATTACTATATTTGAATTGTCATCAACCAAGAAAGATGATTTTTTTTGCCCAATTAACAGTGTATTTACAGTATTTATCAAGAGGGGCTAACTGCTGAAAGCTAACCAATCAAACCCCTTAGTGAAACACCCAACGTGTCATAGAATGGGTGATAACTGTTCAGATGCTGTACAAATTTGAGGCTTTGTGCCGTGAGCTTATTGGCTTTCTAATTGTTTAATAAATTGTGATTTAAATTCAACGGTCAAACTATCCACAAGTGTCTTGTTGTTGTGTTTAAGAACAATATATAGCAACAACAGATTATGATAGAAGGTCTACCATTCAAAACTACTGAAATATCATTGGCATTAGTAAGGTTCCTAAGGGATTTAAGATTTATGCACATTAAACTGTTCTTCAGTTACAAATCCTGAGAAGCTTTCATTATGCCAAAGAGGCATGGTTAGGTTCAAAGCAATAAGTAGTATGAGCCCAAGTGCTGGATAAAATGTGCTTTGAATTTAAAATCCAGGACTGGAGAGACAAGAAACAAAATCAAATGTAAGGGCTGCACGATAATGGTTATACGAGTAATCACAAAAACAAAAACATAATCACGTTTATTAATCATGATTACTGTCATTTCAAAAATTTTTTTTTACATTTCTTCACAATTATTTCATGTTCACTTATACAAAAATCAAGAGAATGTCATGGTTTGCTTGCAGATTTAGTCACAGCAAACAGAGCAAACGTGTGAAAGAAAACAGACTGGCTGTATTACACTTTTATTTGACCAAAATGTATCTGTACAGAGACAGCTATAGAGTAACTTCAACTTACATGTTTGCCAGTGTATTCAGCGCATGCAGCTCTTGTTCCATAATGTAAAGAGAGCGTGTGCACATGGTTGCCAGGTTGGGAAGATTAAGTAAACCATTTGGCAGAATATGTATCGATTTAAGACAAAAGCTAGTTAGAGGATACATAACAGCAGGCAAATATCGCAGAAGGTTATGTGGGTTACACACAAGAGCTAATAAATACTTTAAAAAAAAGACATCTAGAAATTATTAGGATATGAACCTGCAACAGACACAAAAAGAATATAACAAGAACTTCAAATGTATAAAAGTAGTTTAAGTACAAAACCAAAAGTGACATAATAAAATGGGTCTCAAATGAAATAAAATGGTCTCCAATGAAATTACAGTTGGACTAAAAATGGATCAATCATGGTCCAAGTCGTGTGTAGTAGTACTTCAACTGAAGGTGGGCAATCAGAAGATAGATGCCTATGAGCATCATTTTGAAAAGAGTACCGTTAAGTACCAACAAAAAAAAGAATGATAGAAAAATCTGAATCAATACAATAAATGGACACTCTTTGTTTAAGTCTTTTCTTAGTGTTCTACATTCAAGCTCTTTCATTTAGCAAATAGAAACTTAAGAAATTCTAGATTCCTGAAAATGTGAGGACAAAAATCTACATACCATGCTTTAATGGCCTCTGTTCTAACCTGCACAGTCAGGAATTGACTAACAATAGAGGCTGTGTAGTCTCTAGTCTTGGTCTAGTATAAAGGTAGGGGTGACAGCAGTCGGTCAACAAGCAGAATCAGCTTCAGCTTCTCATTTGTGGAAATACTGAGGATCAGCCAGCGCAAACATGAAGGTAAACCTCGTTCCAGCACCTATTCCATACAGTTTCACTTAACTTACTTTAATGTGGTATTTATTACTTAAAACAACTAAGAAATTAACTTTGAATTTTCAGGTCACATTTTATGAGGAAAGAAATTTCCAGGGTCGCTCTTATGACTGTATGGGCGACTGTGGTGACTTCTCCTCCTACATGAGCCGCTGTCACTCTTGCAGAGTGCACAGCGGATGCTGGATGATGTACGATCAACCCAACTACATGGGAAATCAGTATTTCTTTAGAAAGGGAGACTATGCTGATTACATGTCTATGTTTGGAATGAGCAACTGCATCAGGTCCTGTCGTATGATCCCTATGGTGAGCTCCATGAACCTGTTGACATATTTATTAAGTGATGATAGACAAAGGTCCTAAATTTATTTTAACCATTTACTTTGAAATCCTTCAGCTTGAAAAGCAACATAGATAGTTTCAGAATGATGATCTGTGAGAGACAGACCTAGATAGTTGCTGAAGATATATGGTTACATGTGATAATGATTCTTCCTGATTAATTTATACATAACTGACTTATCTTCCATTACAGCACAGGGGATCCTACAGAATGAGGATCTACGAGAGGGAGAACTTCATGGGTCAGATGCATGAGATGATGGATGACTGTGACAACTGCATGGACCGTTACCGCATGCCTCACTGCCAGTGCTGCAATGTGGGTGGCGGTGAGCCCGGGTGCGAGGGCCCTTTCATCGCTGCTTGCAGCTTTAATTTAATTTGTATCTTTGTTAAGTTGCATTTATTTGTACTATTGCTTGCAATTAGATTTTTTTATGATTTTGTTTATTATAATTTTTTTATTAATCATTTTGTGGTGGGGCCAGTGAAAATTCTGAAAATGCTTGGGGAAAAAATTGGAAAATAAAACTTCAGAAGCACCACAAAGAGGATTTTTGGTATTTGGGTATTTTAATTTTATAGTGACTGGATTATGAAAATATGACAGCACAAAATACAAGAGCAACCACCTAGCTCTAGATACTTTGGATGTGTCGTCCACATGTACAAATTCAAAACTTTTTCGGTGCCAAAAACATTTTAAATTAATTGGGAAAACAGACTGAAAACATTCCCCTCATTATTCATGAGCATGAGGCGTATCATGGACTCCTGGTACTAGTGTTTAAATGTTTCAATAAAATAATTATTCTACAACATAAATCTGTGTCTAAATTATCATTATTGCTAATATTTGTACAGTATTGTAGTATTGCGACACTAACGCTTCAAAATACTGGCGATGCCACTGTATTTTATAAACGGTAGTATCATCAATATGGTACTACCATAAGTAATGTTCTATGTGTGGCAGGTACGCAATTTGATCATGCATGTCTGCAAAAACATTACAAGGTAGTCTTTTTGAGTGCTGTTGCCATTTTGCTGTGTAGTAAATGCTATGTAGAATTAACACCTCATATGGAATTGAGTGAAAGGAAAGGAACTGAAAAGATTTTGAAAAATTAGCAGCTCAAACATTAGCATTAGCAGCTCAAACATCTTTATATAAGAATGTATTCTCTCAGTTCACTATTTGCTAATTTGAAAACTTCTGGAACAGGTGTTACGGTTAGTTTATAGAATCATTCTTGCAATGACGAAAGTAATTCCATTCATCAACATAGGAGCATTTGCACTCGTTTCTCAATCATATCAATCATTATAATGTGATTTTAACATTTTAACAACATGAATTATGTGTTTTAACATGCTGCCTTCAAGATATGGGAGAAAAATGCTCCTGTATTAGTTCCTGTTTTTTTTTTATAACGTGATAGTTCAACAATATGACACAAGCAAGAGTGCTGTTCTTCCTAATATCAGCACAACAAATGGGATTGATTGTATACAGCGATTCAATAAATACAAAGTTAATATTAAATTACATTTTAGACACAACATTGCCAATAATGATGGTTTAGCTCTATTTTGCCAATGAAAATAGAAAAAAAAGCAGAACTGTTGCGCTTCTCCAAGCAACACTAAGCAGTGTTTTGTTTCATTTCTGAATGAATTCTTTTTTAGAAAAATTGTGTGAATCAATGATTCACTTAACCAATCAAAAAACAGTCACTTGCTTCGCTCCTAAATGAATCAGCTGTTTTGAATGAATCGGTTGAATAAATTATTTAGTGACACAGTAATTAATACTTGATGCCACCTACTGGAACACCTGATCTGTTTTCATTTACATCTATGCATTTATGAAGATTCAGTTCATTTTGTAGATCTGAATTATGAATTAACACAATACTGCATGGTATAGTGATATTAATTGGTATTGTGATACTTCAGCTGGTATTGTACCATAAGATATATATATATATGGTATTGTGACAACCCTTATTTGCATAAGTAATCCAACCAAAATCACAAGCACCCCATTAGCTAGAAAGACTCACAAATCAGAGACATAGCCAGTGGACAATGACCTGACTCATTATCCTTTCCAAATCTTGTTCCTCTCTCACCTGCATCATTCATGTTAGAAATACAACAGGAATTATCCAGCAGGAAATCATGCAGACTCAAATTTACAGCAACTAAGGGTAATACCCAACATAGCATGGGATCTCTGGGCCAAGCTCAGAGGTTTGGTGTTAAGTTGCGTTGTCATGAGTAAATTTAGTCTTATTTAATAGTTTATTTGACAAATTGTTCACATCCCTTTTGCACTCTCCTGCCCCCCTTGCTCTTCCACCACTTTTTCTAAATGACACAACGCTGGGGCCCTTTATTCACATACTACTTCCTTGTCACAAACAGTCAAGTTCAGTATGGTATATGTAATCCAGTTTGCTGTTGTAAAATGCAATATCTTGTTATTTGTATATTTATCTAAAGTACACCACAGACTACTGAATGATTTCAAATCAATCAACTTTCTACACTTACATTACATGTTCCTGTATCCATTTGCATCTGCCATGTAAGAGGACAGATCAGGCATTCCCATGTCAATCAGAGTCGTGCATCACTGAAAAAGCGATAGTGGCGAATGACGTCAACTCAGGTGGATGCTTTTCCAGGTCAATATGCAGAGTTGCCAAGTCCGCAGCTTTCCTGCAGAATTGGGCTACATTTACACTATTGACGTGGGTTGTTTTTTAGTTCGCAGGTTAAAGCGATCTCTCCGCCTCAATATTTCGATGGAGTGGGACCCCCGTTGGAGGGGAAAGCTGTGTAAAACGTGATTGGGCTAGTTTTAAATAGCAATTGGGCTGGTTTTATATTGCAGACCTAGAAACCTGTCGGTATCCACCCTGGGTTGTTTTGCCAAGTGTATAGTGTAAAAGCAGATATTGGATATGGGTCACTTTTAATATAAGACGTAAGCTGGTCTCGTCAGAAAAATCGGATATAGTCAACAAATCAGAACTGGGCATCAAGAACTGCAGTGTAAATGCGGCCTTTGATCACTGTATCTCCAAAACAACTTTTAAAATAATATTTTATATAGTTCACCCAAAAAAGGCTAATTCAGTCATCATTTACTCAACTTCATGCCACTACAAACCTGTATGCCTTTCTTTCTTGTGTGAAACAAAAGAAGGTATTTTGAACAATGTGTTTTTGTCCATGTAATGAAAGTCAATGGGTCCAATTTTGTTTGAACTATCCCTTTAAATGTAATTTTCACTTAAAAACATGGTGTTTGTTTCATACTCTACCTCAATTTGTTATGTAAATAAAAGTACAAAAATTGCGATATTGTAGGGTCATTGGTAGCACACATGCTCACCACACACTATGATTGATTTGAGAATGATTGGTACAATTTCCCAAAACTATTCCCTATCCCATCTCAAAATGTTCCCAATACTCCTCACTGTGCTGTACCATGAAGCCAAATATCCCATAAATTCGTCCGGAGCAAGTATGGGGAACTGCAATTTAAACATTCAAGCGATTTTAAACCATTTAAGTGCAAAAAGATGCAAAAAATAACTCAATTTGGTACTTGCGAAACAGCCGACGTGCACACATAGAAAGCCACCTCTCAAGGAAGCGTGCAAATACTGAATTAAGTTCTACTTCCTGTCTTCTTGCACTTGAACAGACAAATACACACAAAGTAATGCCAAAATGCCCTCTATGGCAAGTATCTTCGTAAACAAAGTCAGTTATGTCTTAAGTGTATATAAACAGTTGAGGAAGAAAATGCAATGTATCATTATACAGTATTGGATCCATACATTAGGTCTTGAAGAGACCGCAACCTAATATATCTGCTGCTGTGTCCTTAAACAACAAAAGGCAATGAGAAAAGTCACTCTCTGCTCCTGACTGAATAACTTAAGCTTGTAACATAAATAAATATTAACCTATATTTAATTTATACACCGAAAACAATGCAGTATTACATTTTACATTTGACTACTTTATTCAAATTCTGTACTTGAGTACTACTTGTTAGACCTACAGTACGTGAAACCTTATGAAAAGCACTGTTTATTAGGGCCCGAGCACCGATGGTGTGTTTTTTTATGATTTTGTTTATTATAATTTTTTTATTAATCATTTTGTGGTGGGGCCAGTGAAAATTCTGAAAATGCTTGGGGAAAAAATTGGAAAATAAAACTTCAGAAGCACCACAAAGAGGATTTTTGGTATTTGGGTATTTTAATTTTATAGTGACTGGATTATGAAAATATGACAGCACAAAATACAAGAGCAACCACCTAGCTCTAGATACTTTGGATGTGTCGTCCACATTTACAAATTCAAAACTTTTTCGGTGCCAAAAACATTTTAAATTAATTGGGAAAACAGACTGAAAACATTCCCCTCATTCTTGTTGTAAAAAAAAAAAAAAACAAGGAGAAAACTGGAAGAGGTGGAAAGCATGATCTAGTCACATGTAGAATGGTGAACACAGTTGACAATGTAAATGGCCACTGCACTGTATTGCTGGGTCAGGCATTCATATACAACAGGGAACACACACTTTTTGAACTGGTACTGGAATATAAAGGTAGTCAAGAGCAAAGAACTGTGCATTGGAGCAATATCAACTTGTAGTTAACAGACTGACATAATGGGCAGAGTGCGTTCGTAAAATTTTGATTTACGTGACAAAATGGTATTAAGCAACCTAACAATTTTTCTGAATGGTTTCATACATATAGTTGTGTTATTAGTGTCCTATGTGAATATGTTCTGCATTTATTTTCCCCAGGTTTTTTTTTTTTTTTTTCTTAAAATTCATATTTGAATGTGCGGCAACTATAGTTGCCGGTGGGCAGATATGTTGTATTCATACCTTTATTGTCAAATTTGAATAGGAGGAAAACATTTGGCATCTAACTCAAAATAACTGCTTTCAACAGATCAATCTTTATTCATAAACAAATTTATTATGTAATATAAAAGTTTGATTGGACCAAAAAAAGCTGCATCTAGCTTATAATCTCTTGAATATGAAAACACAACAAACAACAAATCCATTTGTCTTAAAGTGGTGGAACATAGTGCAGAACAAAGTGCAGCCATTAAGTTGCCCCAACAGGCATTGTGTATCAAAAAGTTAAATGAAAATAAATAAAGAAAAATAAATAGAATGAAGAAAAAACTACATTTATATAACAAAAAATGTATACATGAAAGGAAATTACACATTTTAGGCCCATAGTATTCAATGGCTGACTGTAGTAGGTGATTTCATATAATAATGTAAATGTAAACTCATTACTTGCCTGAATTTCAACATTATAATGGAATCATAAGCTACTAGTCATAAAAAGAATTAGGGTCCTTGACCGATTAGAATGAAACACATCCAAACTGGATGAAGGGGCCTCAATATTTTGCCCCTTACAATGCATAATACTATAAAAGGGAGAAAAGGATAATCTACAGCAATTAATCACATGCTTTAACTCATCTTTCCATTCTTCCTTTTGTGTGTCTGACTGAAGTTTGTAAACTGCTGCTGTCACTTGAAAACTGGAAATCTACTGTACAGTAGAGATGTCCGTTAAAGGGCTAAGTTATGTTTTAGGTGGGATATTATGAAAGCAAAAAGCACTAAACAAGACCAATAACCTTGATTTATTAACCTATCAACACAGTATACCCCATTTCCCCCTGATATGTACTTACAAGTCATTTGCCCACCGGCAACTATAGTTGCCGCTTGGACTTTTGACTAAGTATACAAAAAATGTCTCTAGTTTACGTATGTAACCATGGTTCCCCAAGGGAACGAGACGCTGCGTCGAGAATCGCTTTGGAAATGCCCCTGCGTGACCACGTTCTGAAGCACGTGTAAAATCAGCCCAATGGAGCAGCGAGACGTCACGAGCGGGGTGTCGCTTTGGGAACG